ATGTATTTCTCTAAAATTAAAATAATGAAGATGATAATATCCATGATTAACACCCTCAACAATAAAAATGGTTAATTAACCTCTCATAATTACAAAAAAAATGAACAAAATGAAAAATTATGATTGGTTGAATGAGGTTTTCACGGTTTTTACAAATTAAGTGGTTTTTATTTGAACGCTCCTCTATATAGATAACCAATTGCTAATTCATATGATTATTTTTCATTTAAGACTAGAATTTAGAATGTCCATTAATTATATATTGTTTCACAATGTGAACCTTTTTAACATCTTCGTGAAATAAAAGTTGCACGCAAAAAAAATTCACATTGTGAATAACATATATATGAAGAAAATACATAGTGAAATAAATATATGATCATCAATACGTTAAATGAAATAGTACCTTACTATAAAAGTTCTCATCATAATATATGAGTTTTCAAATGATTATACCCATATACATACGTTTAAAATACAATCCATCACATTTGTACAAATAATGCAACCCAATCAATTGAGATATTTATAGAAATGATGAGAGTTCATTTATTATAATTTGAATATTTATGGAAGATGACTATGTCTTATTAATTTATGATAAATACTTTATATTAGAAAACAATCAAAACTTTTATGAAATCACATATATTCATCAAATTAAATGGACGGTTGAGATTGAGTTATATTGGTTGTACAAATGTAAAAGGTTGCATAATAATTCACCTCTCTCTCTATATATATATATTCTTGGTTTTGTCATTCTTCCATTCATTAAATCAATCTCAACCCCTATTAATCTCCATTGATTGAATCTTGTGTTCAAACCTTGATCTATAATACCATCGAACTGTAATTGTAATTTGATAGTGTTATCTAACATTACCACTTACCAAAAGAACTAATTGATGACAAACTTGACTATGACACCGTTTGAGGTACATGGAACCCCTCCTCCAAAAAAAAATCAGATTACACTCTAAAATAGTTCTTGAAAAAAGAATAATGGTTCCAATATATTGTAGAAAAACTGTTTAAAAGTAACTGATCTGAGACTCCAACAGTATTTACTATGTCTAGCCTTCCTTCCGTCAAGTCGTTCACGTAGTTCAAATGCATTTATCGTTAAAACTAGCTAGGCCCTTGATTTCTTTGTCCAACGGCTTGCTTGCCAACCTCTATACTTATTTAATGTTATGCAATTAAGGAGTTTATTCAATAACTCGTTTCAGTTAGTTCAAAATACATGGTTCAGTTGTCGGTCACGTTTTGAAAATCTTATGCATGCACGTCGTTAACTATAAAATACAAATATATTCCGAAACATTTATATAAATAATAAAATGTACAATAATTGAAATTAAAATGTTTTCTTAAAGAAATGTTTGTACAATTAATACCAAAATGTACCAATTTAATATAAAGCAAACCAAACCACCCCACGACCACGACAACGACCACCACCATCAAATCTAAATCAATGAAACCCTAATTAATACTGAAACGATCTTTTTTTGTACTTCACATTCGCCATTTTTACAGATCTCAACCTCACTTGCATTAAATGATCATAAAGAGAATTAAACGGCCCCAGCAGGTGGTGGTGGTGGTGGATCCACAGGTTTTTGACCTCTTTCAATTAAATTCAACAGGTTTTAATTAATTAATTAATTAATTAGTGAAATTAATGAACTCGATTTGAC